TTTCTTTATTTTTATTTCTCCTTTGGTTATTATTAATTCTTGTTCCCATCTTATTTCCTTTTAATATTCTTTGTTCCATTTCTTTTACATTCTGTTCCATTTTAGTATCGATTTTTGTAATAGTATTCATCCATTTATTTTCTAAACTAATCATCCTTTCTACATCATCCTGTCTATTTAATTCTATTTTATTTAATTCTTCTCTTATTTCTCCTTTAAATTCTGTTTCTTTTCTTTCAAATACTTCAAATCTTTTCTCTTGCAAATTTTCAACCTCTGTTATTTTTACGTCCTTTTTAATATCTTCTATATCTATTCCTTTTATTTTCTTCTTTGTTTCTTCTTTATCTTCTAAATCTATCTTGAATTCGTCTAATTTCTTAATCATCTCTTTTTTTACTTGTTTTAACTCTTTCATGTCTTCTTTTATATCATCTATCTTCTGAATGTTTTCCTCCATTTTAGTCATCTTTCCCATCATCATTCTGATCATTTCGGATACACTCATCTCTTCAATCTTACTACTTTCTTTTCCTATTGTATTTCTTGTTCTCCTTTCTTCTTCTTCTTTCTGTTTCTCTTCATTTTTTTCTTTATTGCTTTCTTCCATCTTTTCCATAATATTAAAGTTTTTATTTTATGTTTTATATTTATTCACAGATTTTTTTTTTTTTTTTATATTTTAATATTTTTGATTTACAAATTTAATAATAACTATATTACTGTATCACTATCAAATATGACTTATATCATACGTCAGTTTGACAGCTTTATCGCCCCACGTTGGTCGCCATTTGTAATGATATTACACATACCAATTTTATTTTTTTTATTTTAATTAAAGTATTTTTTTTTAATTTTTTTTTTATTATTAATTTTTTTTTTTTTTTCTCAGGGGTGCTTCCAATTATATTATTATTACTTTTTCAACTTAATTTTATTTTAATTTTATTTAATTTTATTTAATTTTATTTAATTTTATTTAATTTTATTTAATTTTATTTAATTTTATTTAATTTTATTTAATTTTATTTAATTTTATTTAATTTTATTTAATTTTATTTAATTTTATTTAATTTTATTTAATTTTATTTCAATTGTATTTTTTTAAAATTCTATTTTAATGTTATTATAATTTCCTTTTAATTTATTTTGTCAATAATTAACAAAATAAAATTTATGACTGGACTTGTTTATTTCCCTGTATTCTCAAATCAAAATGAACAAATTTTCAAAACCAAAAATATAATATTTATTATCAAAGAAGTTATTTAAATCTCCAATTAACAACATTTCCCCGCTATATACGTTTCTGGGGATTATAAAGAAACTATATCACTAAATCTAATCTAAATTCATTCACTCTTCATTCATTCTTGCTAAACTATATACTAAAATTAAATTATATAAAAAAAAATAACAACTACCAATGTCTTTTCAAACACAATTACTTATTTTTTGAATTAGTTTATAAAAATTACTCACTTTTTATCTTATAAAGTGTCTATTTTCATTAGTCGGTATTCTACTTTCTACGATTTATTTGTCCTCTCTTCCTTCTTCTGTATATGTCTCGCCGGAAAACCATTATATATTTTTCTATAACTATCATTACACCTTACTAATTTTAACTATACGTGTTTGGTTAGATAAATTTGCTCATTCAGTATGTATTATCAGTTATTTAATTCGTCTTGACCATATCTTCTAAAAATAAATTTCTACTCCCAAAATTTTTGACATCTTTTTTTTCTTAAATTTCAAAATTGACAATCAATAATCTCCACAACCTGGAAACCCCATCCTTATTACCTTCCCAAAGTCTCCTTCACTTATGACTTTCTCATATCAATTTTTAATATACAGGGTACATATTCCCACATTATTTTTATTTATTAATGTTATTATTATATTATAGTTATTATTATTATTAGTAATGTTATTATTTTTAGTTTTATTATATTTTAATATAGGGTGTTATCATTTCAATATATATAAAAGTTCCAAATACAAAAGTCTAAAATACAAAATATACATATTAATACAATCAAATAAAAATTTTTAAAAGAGATTTGCACATTTAATCTACTTGACACTAATTTCATCAATCATGAACATGTTTTATCATTTTCTATTTAAAAACTGTTACTGACGAACTAGCTTTAATACCAAACGGCAATTTATTGTAATGGTCAAAGCATTTAAAAAATAAGGAATTCATTGATGTTCGTTTATTTGTTCTATGTGCAAGTTAGGGCCTTTCGCACCGCTAGTAGTTAAGAAATAAGCGAAGCTTAAAATGACATTGTCAATGTAGAAATGTCATTTTAAGCTTGGCGTATTTCTTAACGACTAGTGGTGCAAATGGACCTTACTGTTATTTCTGGTAGAATAGTTACGAATATGATTGTTAAAAATTAATATATTCTCGAAAATGGGGTGTGGTCAAACCATTTAATATTTTATATACAAACACCATAGTCAAATAGTATGATCTCTGATAAACCGAAATCCATTGCGTGGTAGATATAGGAGTATATTTGCTACATCTCATTATAATTCTCATACCACGATTTTGCAGTTTTTGTAACTGTGTCGTATGGTTTAAGTTGAAAAGGAAGATAACCGCTAAAAAATAATCAAAATGTGGTTGAATAATTGAGTGATAAACTGTAATTTTAGTTTTAGCTGATAGGTTTTTTGATATTCTTGCAAAGAAGTAAAGTTTCTTCCATATTTTTTTAAAAATATAATTAAAATGTTCACTAAACAATAAAAAATTATCAAGTTGAAAGCCAAGGTATTTAGTAGATGTTACAATATCAATTTTCTCATCATTAATTGTAAGATTAATTGCATTTAAGTCTATAGTGGTATATTTATATTTAGTAGTTATTATCATAGCTTTAGTTTTTAATACGTTAAGTTTAAGTTTATTATACATTAAATAATTATTATTATTATTATTATTATTATTGGCTGAGTTTAGAGCCATATTCATTTTTTGTACCGCATTTTGAAAAATTATTATCATAACAAGCCATTAAAGAATCATCTGCAAATATATTTATAAAATCACAATCAACAAAGAGGTTTAAATCATTTATATACAAGATATATAAAAGTGGCCCCAGAACGCTACCTTGGGGTACAGCAATATGTTAATATCCTTTTCAGCAGATATATTATTATTAACTTTTACTTTTTATTTTCTTCCAAAGTAATTAGTAAACCAATTCAAAACACAACCATTAATGTCATATCCAGTAAGTTTCTTTAAGATAATATTGCGATCTATTGTTTCAAATGCTCTCTTTAAGTCTAGAAAAATTGTTACTACATAGTTATTATTGTTTACCTCCGTTTTAAATTTACATAAGGGGAGTTGCAGACCTGCTTCACAAGAGTGTTTTTTGCAAAATCCAGATTGGTTAATAAATAAAATATAATTGTGTTCAATATGTTTGTTCATATACAACAGATTCAAGCACTTTTTCTATAGATGGCAAAGTATTTATAGGTCGGAATTCCGAAACATTTATTGTATTACTTACATTAAGAATTGGAACTATTGTACTTATTTTTAGTGAATCTGGTACTGTTGCAGTCTGAAGAGAAGTATTAATTAGATTTAAGATAACATGACCACACGTTTCAAATACTTCTTTCAACATTTTGGAGTTAAGGATTTCATAAATAGTACATTTATTGTATGATAACTGAAACGTTTACGAGAAAGTTATATTTAGCTTTTCTTAATTAGTTAAACAAGTTTATGGTACTCTATTTTGAAACATCCTGTATATAAAAGAAAACATGAATATTTTTAGGGAGCAAACGAATTATTCTTTTCAATCATCAACAAATTCATTAGGTATTAAAGAATAAATGAACTACAAATAATTTGTATTCCATTATTAAGCTAATTTGAGGTACTATAAATATGTACCTATATATTTTGCTCTGATATATCTGTAACACCTCTCAAACAATGCTGAAGACATTCATAGATGGCAGAGATATTAATCCTTCTAAAATCAATATTTTAATACTTTGAACAATCGGCACCAATGATAATTGATTTCCTTCCAGAGCTACAGTGTCAGGAACTGTGGGAGTACAGTTTACCACTCAAATATTAAAAAACTGCAGCGATTTCAATCAAACGTGCTAAAAACCACATACTTCGGCAAAAAAAATCCATAAAATGAAACTTACATTTTCGATTCGCAAATTTATAAATATAAGAAAGGTCATTAAAAAACAAAATATTCGCCTGCACTGCTTTTCATCTATAATTATTATTAACAATGCCAAGTATGTAATCTATAAATGATTCACGACATATTGTATTTCTCGTTCATATTTCAGTCTACATTGTATCTTTCATAAATTCATTGTAATTATTGATTATAATAGGCATAATGATGGCAATAAATGCTTTTACTTTAGCCTCAGCACTCTGAATTTCAATTTTATGATTATCTTTGTATGTATAGTCTAAGTACTTTTATGCACTTATATGGAAAAACAACGTTGAAAATATATTTTTTCTATACATGATATCCCAAAATTACCGGACATAGAGGACGAAATAAGTCGATTGGAACAAAATTTTTACAGTGCGGTCCATGTGCATGGAATAAATTCATTTTTAGGGTTCCGTACCCAAAGGGTAACTAACGGAACCCTATTACTAAGCCTCCGCTGTCCGTCCGACCGTTTGTCTGTCAGTGAGCTTTATTTCATGATCCGTAATAGGTAGACAGTTGAAATTTTCAAAAAATGTGTATTTCTGTTGCCGCTTTAACGACAAATAATAAAAATTTAAATAAATTAAAAATTAAAGGGGATTTCCTACTAATCGATTGATATATTATTTTACCTACTCCTAATCACAATACGTGATAGCTCTGTTCCCAGCCATTTAGGACATCCTGTATTAAAAAAATGTCTAATATGTGTTATAAATATTGTGAAAATAAAAAAAAAATTCTTACGAGAAAGTCTATTATCCAATGAAGGAGGTATCCAGTCATCTTCAACTTGCGGTCTTATTCGCCTCATTACCGACTCGTGTCTTGAATTCATATTTTCTGTCACCAATCGTCCTAAATCTAAAAAGAAATGAAATATTATTTTAAATCAATATAAATATACCTACTATCTTAATAATTGAACCTTAAAACGTTTTAGTTTATTGGCTAACTTTGATCAGCTTTTATATTTACAAGTCAGAATATAAAATTATTTTTATTGTTATTAATTTCACCAACTTGAATTTTGAGGATAATGACTGGAGAAACCAACAGATATCAACAGGAAATGAGACAAATGCAGCGAAAATAAATCAAGAAACTTGACATACAAATCACATTTCATAAACTGTATGTTTAAAATCATATTATATCTTAAACGAAATTTTAAAATTTCAACAAATCTTACCAATTTTTTGACGTGAAGTAACCCATTCATCCAAAGACGGTACATTATTGTTATCTCTAGGCTTATTATTATCGTTCTGGGAATACCTCAGTGCTTTTCGTCTTTCTTTACTAGTAAACATGCATTCTTCTAGTAATTCAAACCAATCTTCCAATCCCTCTGCAGATCTTAGATAAATTTTTCCATCCCTACCGAGTGATAAGGCAACTGAAAAAAATGTATGTATAACATTTTTTATGCTATAAAATTTATTAAAAAAAAAAAAACATGTCGCATCAAATTAAGCTGATTTAAATAAATCCTGAATAATATAAAGTAATACTATAAAAAAATACATATATTAACCATATGTTATATTTTAATTATATCTGAATATGTTAAATCTTATCATTTTCTTTATTCAATCAATAAAAATAACACTAGAACACACTGAAAATACGACGGATCTACAAATAAATATTTGATAGTCAACTAACTTTTAATATGCATATCAGCACCTCAGAGGTTTGTTAAGTCACCAAATTTACATTTGTTGGGAGAGGCATTTTAAAGTTCACGTATTCTTTTAACTAATGTATAGAAACCGTTAATTTACTAAATATTGGGGTCAATTGGTCAATTTATTTAGATTTTTGTTAGATTTTTACGTTATCCTAAAATTTTGACTTTGATGTTACTTAACAATATTAACCCCAAGTTTGTGACTTACCGAGTGTTCCGTCATCTTCTGGCGAAATTATGCAACTAGGGAGTTAAATCTATTTGCCACTAGATAGAATTTTCACATCCACAAGTAAAGAAAACTATCTCTAAAAAACGTGACTTAACCTTACCTCTGAGGTGCTAAAATATTTAAATTAATTCAAGCATATCGTGCTTTATTTCCAGACATTAAAATTGGAATATGGATCATTAATTTAGAATCCAATTTATTTTCAGTTTATACTTTTGTTGAGAAGATTCAAAAGAGGTATCCAAAATTTGTAATTTTTAAAATTGATGGAATCTATCCGATTAGAGGTTATAATTAATAATCTATTAAATCAATATTGATTTTGTTAACTTAGAAAAACATAGGAAATAATGCTCTGTTTTATTCGTACATAAGCTTTTAAATAATTATAAAGTTCGGAATTGTTACCTCAGTTTGATATTCATGTTCCTAAGATAACTTCCAGACCTAATAATACATATCAGTGTAATTTTATGTGAAGCAATTTATTAAAATTTTGTGATATTTTTTTATCATTAGTTTTATGTTTATAGAACAACAAAACTCGTGTACATATTTAGTTTTGAGTAGCAACATTATTCTATTAATTTTAACTTTGTTTGCTAATTTTTTTGGATTTGTTTTTTATATCTACAAGAATCGCCCCGTAGATTATTGCTGATAAATATGACTCACCTGTACTATAAGTCTTTTTGTTTTCCCATTCTATTTTGATTATATCGATGAGTTTTACTTTGAACAAGAACTGCCCCATCTCCGAAATTCGATCTGATCCCGAAGCCCTTCTGAATACGTGCAAGTAGTCTCTTGTGAGAATAAAATACCGCTCTTTCCATCTACTGAAGAGCCTGTCTCTTTGTTGCCACATCAGACCCCTTTTTATCACATGTGCTGACTCCTTTCCAAAGCTCGGAAGAAGCGACTGCAACAAAAATGAAAATTATAAGTATTTCGAAAACGTTTTTACTAAATTTTCACATTACAGGATGTCATTTTATGAAGTCAGCACTGCTGCATTACTAGTGAAAAGAGATCAGAATAACAAGTAATTTTTAATGAAACTAATTTAATTCCAGAAGATGGAAAAATAGTATTTTTCGAAACATAGTATGTAGTTCTTAAATTATACAAAAAAATTAAACAATTTGACCAAAAAACCAATATATAATTTAGTTCCATATCCTTTTATCAATATAACAATATATTTATGTTTCAAAACATCAAAATAAGTAATTGAATCATTAAAAAAAAATGAAATAATTTTATTAAACCGCTGAAACTGGGAAAAAACAATACAATAAAAACTGATCTATGTTTTAGTGAAGTTTTTCCAACATGTGACTTGCAAGCTTCCAAATTGTTTGTAATATCCTAAACTAAAGTGGTAATTATTGAAAAAAATCAAAATCTTATTTCCTGTAAAATTTATTGCCTGATTTCTATTCTGGTGTTTAGAGGTAGACACTTTTTTCAATATAAATTTTCTTGCAAAATGTTTAAAACTATTGTTCCTGATATCTTTGGTTTCTTTGAAAAAACGAAACACTTTAATACTTCTATACAGGGTGTCCGGAAAAATGTGGAAGGTCTCTCGAATTCAGATAAAACATTAATAAAATAAGATGACAAGTTCCCATAATTTTTTTTCCTAGCGGCCCTCCCTACGGAGATACAGTCTCCAAAAGGACGCCACTGGAAATCAATTTTTCTTGAATAACTTTCAAACTACGTAATATAACTTAATGAAAATTAAATATGATAAACAGTAGTAAGGACCTCTTAAAACACTGCCTTTAAAACATAATTAACTTGTTTAATTTACCAGGGGCGGACTAGGTTGTACATTTGAATGCTTACATTTTTAACACCCTGTATGATAAGGAGTTAAAAAAAATTAAATTCGATACCTTGAACATTAAGCTAAAGAAAAGGTACTTCTCTCCATTGTCGATAAAATGAATTGTTTTCGAGAACAAAAAAATAAAAGAAATATTATTTTATTTTTATTAAAAAGAAACCATGATTTTTTTGTCTGCAACAAGGTGTGATACGAAAGTCATAGAAATAGAACTGTTATCAGTATTAAAAAATGCACTGTTTTCACAAACGTTACTATGGTACCTATGAAATAAATGAATAATTGCATTGATGTGTGCATTTTAAATCTTGTTGATACGTTGATTTTTTAGTACTCCGATAATAATTTATTGAATTTTGAACATCTTGGTAAATTTAATTCGATAATGGGATGATGCACATTTAGTGAGTATGCAGATATGCATCTTATGTACGGTCTGGCATCTTGCAATGCTTATAAAGCAAGAAGGTCGTATGAATAAAAATATCATAATCGCAATATTCCAAATAAGAAAACATTTCAGCGACTTGACCAAGGTCTAAGAGAGATTGGTGGGCGATTCCCAGTTTCTTTAATAATTTTTTGGAAGTTTTGGGGAAACAAGTACTGATGCTGGTGTGACAAGAGCAGTACAGTGCAATCGGAGAAAAATATTTTGGATACTGCAGCTGATATACCTTCAATAAGCACTCGAAGATTAGCCGCGCAGCTTCATGTGTCAAAAACGACAATTGCTGAAGTACCTAAAGAACAGTTGTTATACCCTTATCATCTGCAAAAAGTGCATCAACTACTTCTTGAAGATTTTCCTCGAAGAATCCAGTTCGCAAACTGGCTGTTAGATCAGCAACGAACAAATGGTATTGTAAATTTATATATCTCGCATGTATGGGCTGATGAAAACCCTCATGCCACTGTTGTTCATCATTATCAACATCAGTTCCAATCAATTAATGTTTGGGCAGAAATAATCGGCAATTTTTCGATTGGACCATGCGTATTGCCGCCACGATTGAATGGTGAACTTTATTTACAGTTCCTTCAGAACGCTTTTCTGGATTCAATAGAGCATTGTCACTTTATGCATGATGGAGCCATACCTCACTTTAGCGTCGCTGTACGGGACCACCTGAATAACGTCTATCGAAACCGTTAGATAGGCAGCGGAGGTCCAATTGCCTGGCTTTCACGGTCTCCCGACCTAACACCTATGGATTTTTACCTGTGGTTTCATCTCAAAACCTTGGTGTATTCCTCTCCGGTTGATACTAGGGAGGAATTTTTAGAGAAAATCACATTTAATTGTGATGTGATAAGTAAGGTTGTTGTGGTGAGTCCTCTATTCGTCGGGTCCGCGAGTGTATCAGAGTTCACGGAGCCATGTTGAACTCACTTATAAAGTTTTTAATTAATTATTTCTAATTAGCATATTTGGGTTCAATCGTTACAAGCTGTAGTGAGTTCAGAATGAAAACATAATTTTTACCAACTATCTTTGGAACGATAGAAATCATTGCAGCTCGAAACTGATCAAATGGCAGCACCCGAACTGGACCAAGTAGCAGCACCCGAAATGGACAAAGTTGAAGCATCCGAAATTGATCATCTCTTACCACCTAATTAACTAATATGGTTGCAGGTTTTAAAAAAGACAAAAATGACCAGGTTGAAATTCATGAGGCTACATCATCGGGAAGCAACCTAGAGCAGGTGCAGAACTCTCTCAATACTTTCGAAAAATTGCTACTATCAACTATTTCGTCCCATAATCAGAGAGGTCCGCCAGCTAAGAAAATCAAAGTTTGTTTAGGGTCAAAAGTCATCACATCTCAGAAGTGTATGAAAATTTTGAAAGACAAGGAGGACGCCGAAAAGCGAAAAGAAAGCTATGAAAGAAAACAAAGAAAACCAACAAAAAACAAAAAAAGCCAAGAATAAAAAACTAAAGAAGACAAAAGAGAATCAAAAAAAAAATCTGATGTGTCCAACACATGACTTTCCTATCTAGTTATTATAGACTTTTTTTGGTTATTTTGTACAACCTCTATAAATGTTTAGAGGATAAACTAAATATATACATTTTCCACATACATATAACTCGAAACGTTTTTCTATAGATATTCATTGAAAACGAAAATACTGAAAAATTTAAATTTAGCACTATTCCTCCAATTTTTCTATTACGGTCCATTTTAGAAAAATCATGTAAAAAACAAAAATTATAGAGATCGATATCAAAAACAATTTTTAGTTTAACAATTTTCTTAAAAATTCGAATTTTGCACATTCTGACCAATTTCTCGAATACGGACCATTTCAAGAAAATTTGGCATATAACAAAAATTGTAGATAATAATATTAGAAGTAATTTTTATTTAAACAATTTTCTTCTACAAACATAAATAACAGATATATTCCATAAAATATAAAAACGGTCTCCCATAAAGTACCCCCCCCCCAGATGTTCCGACTTTGTCCAAAATCTAATCATTTCACGATAAGCCGAAGTAAAACTTAAGTTTAAAATTTAATGTATTTTCCTTTATCTGTTTTTGAGTTTTCTTCAAAATTCGAAATTTACACATTTTCTCAAATATCTCGAATACGGTCCATTTTAGAGAAACTATGTATAGGATAAATATTATAGATAATTATATTACAAACAACTTTTATTTGAAGAATTTTTATATAAAATTATTTTTTACATTTTGTCAAATTTCTCGAATACGGACCAGTTTAGGAAAATTTGGTATAGAACAAAAAATATTGATAAAAATATTTTAAGTAACTTTTATTTGAAGAATTTTCTTCCCCAAACGTAAATAACAGATATATTCCATAAAATATAAAAATGACCACCTATAAAGTACCCCACAGATGTTCCGACTCTGCCCAAAATCTAATCAGCTCATTGGACGCTGAAACAAAGCTTAAGTTTAAAATTTGGTGTTTTTCTGTGTATCGGTTCATGAGTTACGCGCCACACAGACACACACACACACAGAGACATCATCGCGAAAATAGTCAAAACGGATTCAGGGGACCTCAAAACGTAAAAATCCATCAAAAACTCGAGGTCGAAAAAAATCATGATTCCTATACTTTCTCTATATCTGTAAACAGATAGGAAAGTAAAAATCATGATTCCTATACTTTCTTTATATCTGTATACAGATAGGAAAGTAAAAATATGTAGTTTTTGTCATTCATCCATAAGAAAAACCTGTAAATAATAAATAATATTTTTTTTTTGTTAAATTATTATTAGGTATTATAATTTAATAAATGTTAAAAATTTGGATTAATATAAAAATAATTGAGGTAAGTACGTGTCAATAGATTAGGAATATTTTAGATTATAAGCGCTGAATTATTAATTCGTTTCATAATAATTTGCATTAGTTGGCAAAAAAAATTGATGACAAAAGAATATCACAAAAATATTTATAGAACTCGAAATTAATGTTGGCAAAACAATTAATTAAAGTTAAAAACATTCATTTGTCGATTTATTAAATCACCTTTGCTTTAATACCCGATTTGAAAAGAAAATCTTATTTTCCTCGATAAATTATTTTACGAAAATTTAAAGTTTTTGTTTTTTCTCGATCTCCTCAAGACGTTTCTAAAAGATTTGCAAAAGGGGTTTGGTAAAACTGTTTATATTAGAATTGTTAAAACATAGACCTCATGTTTATTAAATTTACAAAAACTAGATTAGTGTATAAAAAAAAACACAAATAGAGACTATTTATTTGTAAATTCCCCTCCAACTATTGATTTGTTAGGGATATAATGATTATTTTTATTTAACTAGTCACTAATCACTACATTTTGTTAATTTCTTCTTTTATTTTTTTTTTTGTCAATTCCTGTTACGCCAATGGTATATGCAACAGTATGTTTTTGATTGTAGGCTTGAGGCCTGATAATCGCTATGAAGACCAAAATTAGTAGTAATTATTATTCTTAAAATTTAATAAATTGGATGTGGTAAAGACTTGCACTTATTTGCGGTTAATTTTCGACTTATTGTATTGGTCATAATTAAAATAAAATTCGCA